CTTCTTCTGTAAGAATTATGATGCATACATTTTGATTTTGAAAATACACAGTCTAATATCCAGTGCTTGGATAAGAAAGACTGATCCTGACTTGAGTGGGGACTTCCAGCACTAGCCATAAGGCTATTAGTGTCGACCATAAGAAAGGAAACATGGACTGGGTAGATGGGGAAGAGCAGGAAGAGAAAGTGTATTCTGGCAATGAATCAGCTCTAGAAATTTGGTTTCTTCACAGTGTCTATACAGTGTGTGGCTCAAAGCAGTGTATCTGGTAAGACTTGTTCAAGAGCAATCTCACTGTGTTAATGAATCCTTCTGCTAATCATCTTGTGAGATTTTACATGAATAGCTGCTCTAATCACTAACAAGTGACTTTAGGTCAAGGGTCTCTTCTGTGCATTATTAAGTAATAATTATAATTACTAAGTATTGAATATCACTATTCTGAATGTTTGATCAGTATTGGTACATTGTCTTCATAAACTTATTTAATGCCATGAGGTCTGGTCTGCAGAAGAGGAAAATGAGAAACCAAAATATCAGTAACATGCCTCAGGCCACACCATTAGAAATTAATAGAAGTTTTGATTCCATAAACCATAATCTTCATCACTAAATTCCCATGAGTACTCTGCAGTAGGTCTAATCCCTACAGCACAGAGCTTCTAAATCTTTACTGGGTCTGTAGCTTACTCAGATGTATTGCGCCAAAGTAGATTCTAACTCAGTGGGTCCGGGTGGAGCCTGGGCTTTGGCATTTCTAAGAAGCACTCAGGTGGTGCCAATCCCTGGCATGTGAACCCCACTTTCAACATCAAGGCACTAGATCAACAGATTTGCACCATTTTTACTATTTTTTCCCCAGAAGCCAAAATTAAATTTCAAGACAAGTGAGTTTCTGTGGTTACAACTGCAGTATCGCAGTACAGCAGTATTTCCCTAGTTCTATGCATGCCTCTAATCTCACGTTCAGAAATTGAGATGATTTAAACTCTAACATGCAGTTCAGGATATAGTGATATACAGTAGACAGAGTGATTCTTCTTAAGTATAGGGTTATTTGAACTTCACAATAGGCCTGAGTGGTGGTGGAGCCTGATAAGAAAACAAGTGGCTTCCACTGTAGGTCCTAAGCAGAGACAAGACACAGATGCCCACATTTTTCTCCACCAGCTGACTCTGAGGTCAGGCATGTCTCATCAACTGGCTAAAGGTAAATAGGTGGAGAAAAGCCAAAATTAAAAAAAAAATGTTTTTCTTTTTCACTTCCTCCCCCCAAGACCACCTGCAGGGTGAAATTGTATCATTTTCTTCCCAGGGTCTGGAGATTAGGTGTTGCTGGGAAGAGGGTGGTCATTCTTGTATTTATTTTAATGGGACTAGTATGTTGGAATTAGTGTCTTCTTTCTATGTAGATGTTATAGAATTTTTTGAAAACATACTCAGAATTCAGAGTTGATCCTCTAAATGTATTTCATCCTTAAAGGGCTTATATTTTCATAGACCAAAAAAAATCCCTTTATGTTACTATGAAAACAAAGTAATGACAATAAACCAAGAAATGATGTCAGTCACTGGGAAAGGAAAATCCCAGAATCTCTGCATGTTAAAACATCTGAGAATAGACAGCGAATGTGCTTATCAAGCATAGGCTTTCTACATATATTTATAATTTACACTGCTATTTTTCTGACAGTTCTCAAAGGAGGGTCATTCTAGAATTGGCTGTGGTGCTTCATGTCACTGTGTTCAGTCATCAGATTTGACATGTCTTGAAGAAGAATAATGAATGAATTTCAGAAAGTTGTGTGTTGTTGTCAAGTGTACACTTACCTTTAAAACCAAAGACTGGGTTTATTCTGAGCCATGTTGGTACTGGTGCTATTGTGTCATGGAGTTGTGCTGAACAAGTTGTAGAGCTGTCTCCATGGGAACGGAGGACCTCGGAGCTCTGGGCACGCTGGGCAGCAGTGCCAAGAACCACTCCATGACATGTGGTGGGTGGGAAGGTCTCTGGAAAAGTGAAAAGGGTATACTGGGGTGTCCAGCCCACCCACCCATCACTGACAGGATTTAATAAATTTTAGCCTTCGGGATTAGTAAAGGGACTATCACAAAAGCTGGTTTATAAAATAAATGAGGTTGGGTGGAAAATTGGTGATTAATTTCTTCATTTATTTTTGCTGGTGCCTGCTTTAGAAGGTAGGGGTTGTTTAGAAGTGAGCAGATGTGGGCCTTCCTGATGGTGCAAGGGGTTAAGTCTCAGCACTATGAAGCTATGTGCAGCCACCGCAGCATGAGTTGATCCCCAGCCAGGGAGCTACTCACATGGCGCAGCAGACCTCTCCTAACTCGCTCGCTACCCCCCTCAGCAGTGTATTTCAGTCAGTCTGCCTGTTCTGCTCCCCACTCTCTCTGGTAAATCCTCTCATTCCCCCCACCCCACACCTATGGCCTACACCCCTGCTCTTATATGCATATATAAATAAAATAAATCTTTAAAAAACAAAAGTGAGCAGATAACATGGTTGCTGCCAACCTCTCTCATTTCTGATTGGTTGCTCCTTCAGGACACTCTGGTCCTTTTGTCTTCAGTTCTTCAAAGATGCCAAGCTCCTCCCAGCTCTCAGCATTCAGTGTCACAGCTCTGTCTACCCACAGGAAACATCCCCTGCTTCACCGTGGAGTGCTCTTATGTTACACATTTTCATAGTGGTGCATTTCCTTTAGAATATTTGATGTCACTAACTTCTCTAACTCTTCTTTGACTGTCTTTACTATTATACTCAAAAGCAACATGAGAGAAGGGATTTTGCTTATTCGCTAAGGATCCTTAGTTTCCTAAACAGTTGACTCCTAGTAGTTTAGTAAAAAAATGTTGCATAATGGTTCATGAATTAAACTCCTGAGGTATTACTCGTGTTTACAGCCCTTAAATGACTAATGGTTAAAGCTTTATGCATGTGGGGGCAATTAATGTGCTGAGTTATTTTTATGTAAAAGTAGAATCTTCTGCAAGATTATGGAGAAATTCAATCCTCAATGAAAGGATTTTTCAAATGAGAACATACTTGAGATTTAGTGATGAAGTGTCTTTAGATAAAGGACATAAGGGTTATGATTTTCAAGGATTTACTGACTCATCTTATGGGGAGCCAATTTTAAAGAATTTTTACAGGTCACTTGAAACTGCATCTTGTAGAAAATAATTTCTTAGACTATAATTAAATGTTTGACATTCACTGCTGGAGTTTGGAGTGGTGTGTCATTTTAAAATTCCTGTGATGTTTGCATTTTCTTTTTCTTCTATTCATTCTTTTGGTCACTGAAATATTTAAATTTTATAAATATCTAAATTTATTTCTGATATTTAGATAAGAAAGGAGAAAGAGTGCTTTCATTTAACACTTTTAATTTTAATTTAATAGCTCAAGTTTATTGCTGTGATTAAGTTTCAAGGCAAGGAATATAGGAGTAAAATCAACATCCAGCTTAGGTATCACCAGATAGTCTTCAACAAGGAAATAGTAAATTGTGCTTCAAACTATACTTAGAAGTACAGCTTGTCAAAGGTGTAATTTTGTGAAGCCAGGTTCAAATTCTTCATCTGGGGATATTCTGGGAAAGTGCCATAAATGCTATAAACCTTCTAAGTTATGAGAATTGGGTGCCCAAGAAGAAATGTATTACTACATATTAGAATGATGTATTCTTCACATGCAATTGTTTATTGTTTAGACATTAGAAAGTAGCTTACCCAAGCTTGCACTTACACATCTTTCTTTACTGTCCTTTCTTTACAAGGAAGACAAACTGGGAAAGAAAATATCCCACCCCCAAAAGGCCAATAATCTTTTTGAAAAAAAAAATCTAACCTGCAAAAAGTATTTGTATGATTCCTGTGACTTTATGACAAGGAATATATTTAGGAACAAGGCTTAAAAATCTAAGCTATGTTCCACTGTTTGCAGTTACCTTGGATTTTAACTAGCTGTGCAAGTTGACTTCTGCCCATGGGGAATCCTCTCCATGCATGGATTTATGGATTGTTGAGCCATGGCAGAGAACCAGTTCCACAGAAGCAACTTCATGTTCTGAGGAAGATCCATAGTGCTGTGGAACAAGGAATATAAATGAGAGATGCCACAAGAGACCGCAAGTGGGGTTACCAAATACAACTCTCAAAAATGAATTCTGAAGGTGGAAAATCTACAAGGAAAAAAAGATTGTTTAAAAAAGGCATTTAAGGGGGGCCTCCCTGGTGGTGCAAGGGATTAAGCCACAACCTATGAAGCTGTCTGCAGTTCAATCCCTGGACAGGGAGCTACCCACATGGCGCAGCAGACCTCTCCTGCCTCGCTCGCTGCTCCCCTCAGCAGTGTATTTCAGTAGATCTGCCTGTTCTGCTATCTACTCTGTCTCTTGTGAATCCTCTGACACCCCCCACACACCTCTGACCTACACCCCAGTTCTTGTATGCATAAATAAATCTTTTTTTTTTTTTAAAGGCATTTAGGGCCTCCTTGGTGGCACAGGTGTTAAAAACACAGCACTATCAAGGGAACCCCCGCCCCTGCAGCATGAGTTCCATCCCTGGCCAGACCGCTCCTGTCTCACCGTCTGCTCCCCTCAGCAGTGTATTTCAGTAGATTTGCCTGTTCTGTTCTCCACTCTGTCTCTGGTGACTCCTCACCCCTCAGCACCTCTAGCCTACACTCCAGTTCTTGACTGAATAAATAAATCTTTTAAAAATATAAAAACAAAATAAAAAGAGGCATTTAAAAACTGGTCTGTCAGGTAAAGCGCCCTGGCGCACAATCCATAGCCATGACAAACGCTCAAGCGTGGAACAGTCAAAACACGTGGATGTCAAAAATACTAATTGTTTACATTTTGTATAAAAAATATTTTCAGCATTGCCAAAAGCAAAAAAGAAAAAAATCCCCAGTGTCTAGAGGAGAAAACACCAAATGAATATATTCAAAGTGTAGTCACAAAATATTTGGTATTTAATCGTTTCCACGTATACTGGAATCGGAAAGCTTCCTCTCCCCCACCCCCAGTCATACACAAACACAACGATTTTCAAACATTTTATAATGGCCGAAGAAGGGCTGCAGAGGTAGCTTTATTACTGGAACTCACTTTTTAACAAGCTGATAATCTACTTTTGCCTCAAGTCAGTTCCATCCCATTCCTCAGTCCCTTTCCTGAGGTCTAACAGTTCATGTCCTGTGCCGTGAGGAGACCTTCCTGCGGCCCTTTGGGGAGCATCCGTTCCGGGCTTAAATAAGCGCAGGTTAGAAAGTTCTCTCTCTCTTCTTCAGCCCCAATGAGGAAGGACAAAGGCATTTCCAGAGGTAAATGATTTTCTTCCTCTCTCGGCTCTCCCTCCTCCAGGCCCTGGTCTAACTCCTCCTCATCACCCTCGCCTTCCTGCCCCTCCTGCACATAGTCAGCCTCTTCCACGTCCACTTGGTCAGCCTCTGCTCCTTCCCCGCCATATTCCTCCTCCTCAGACTCCTCCTCAGACTCTTCCTCAGGCTCCTCCTCAGACTCCTCCTCAGGCTCCTCCTCAGACACCTCCTCAGGCTCCTCCTCAGACACTGCCTCACACTCCACCTCACACCCCTCCTCACACCCCTCATTTTTCTCCTCTTCCTCCGCCAGCTGTGGGATGGGAGACGAGTTTTCCTCGTCGGGGTCAGGGCTGAAGACCAGCGAGGGATTCTCCACGAAGCTGTACAACGTTTCGGGCAGGTCCGCCTCTTCCTCGCCGCCGCTGGGGGACTCGTTTCCGGGAAAGGCGCCCGTCGGGGAGCCGCCATCTCCCTGGGCCTGCTGCTCGCGCAGCGCCCCCTGCTGGCGCTCCAGCTCCTCCTGCTGCCGCATGTCCTCGTAGATCTGGTTCATGATGAACTGGGTGGTGTTGCGCGGCGCCCGCATGCCCGGCGCCCGCCACCCGTACAGGTTGACGGGCCGCAGCAGCGTGCTCAGATCCACGGGCGGGCTCCTGGGGCAGGAGCGGCGAGGATGGCGGCGCAGCCCGCGGCCCCTGCGCCCCCAGCGCTTCTTCCATCCGGGGGGCCGCGCCCAGCCGGGGATCCAGGGCCCGCGCAAGCAGGAGCAGCAGCACAGGCAGAAGGGGTGCAGGCCATACACCCGGATCAGCTGCACCGGACGGGGGGGCTTCCGGAACCCCAACGGAGGTGGGCGCCAGGGCCCTCCCCAGGGCCTCCAGTTGGAGTACACGTCCCAAGAGGGCCGTCGGGGTGGTTGGAACCAAGGGCCAGGGCCGTGCTGTTGTCTTGGCTGCTTCCTCGGGGGCTCATAGTCGGCCTTGGGGCCATAGCGGTACCGCCGCTTGTAAATCGGGGCGCCTCTGTGCCTTCGGTGGCAGGAAGACCAGGTGCCCAAGTGGGCCGAGGATGCCCAGCCGCCGCCCAGGTTGAGGGGGTCCTCCCTGGTGTCCAGGGTCTCGGTCATGGTTCAGCGAGCCCCGGTGTTCTGGAAGCTGGCCTCGACTTTGGTCAGATGCGACGGCCTGGAGAGCTTGGGCACCCCGACTGTCTGCACGCAGCGCCACGTGTCCGCCGCTGGGGTGGCGCGCCCGCCTCTCCAGGAGGCCCCCTTTTCTTCCCTCCCTTGCTTGCGCACTCGCTCTTCCGTCGGAATCTCTGTCCTTCGCACCAGGGTTGTCTCGCCCAGGTGGGCTGGGTGGAACTGGGGCTGGGTAAGGATGGTGCGGGAGGAAGGTGTTGGTGGGCGACGCGCAGTGGGACCCGCTCCCAGGTGCCACGCACACACACCCGCCTCGGCGGAGGCACGGGCTGCGGCGGGGCAGCAGGGGTCGCGCGTACCTGGCTGCTCCCTTTCACAACCTAGGTGCTTCCCCGTCGCCGTCCTGGCCCGACTGAGGTGGTGCGGGCAGCGGCGGCCTTTAAATACCGGCCGGAGCCCCCTCGTGCCCACCGCGTCCTGGGTTGCCCTGGGCAACAGCCAATTAGGATGGAGATCGTTCTCTCTCTGCGTGGGGGCCAGGTTCTGGCCAGAACCAGGTACCCAGTGAACATTCGCCTGGGGCTTGTGACGCAGTTTTTGAGAGAGGCCAAGCCAGGGGGGACTAGGGGTTATGCTGCCCAATGCAAGCAACGTCTGTAACAGTTTATCTGAACCCTCTGTGCTAGTCTAACATGCGAGAATGTAGGAGATGGACATTCGGCCTAACCCCACTGAAAGGGGCAGGTGGGAGAACCCCAGAACAGCTTGTGAGAGTGGGTGGATAGGAGAGTGGGTAGAGAGTAGGTAGACTGGAAAACAGCACATAGCCTACATCTTTGGGGAGATGGAGGGGGTTATGAGGAAGCTGCTAGGGTCAGAGAAGTGGGCGCCCGCCTTGGCTTATGTCCAGTGCGCCCTGGAACTGCCGGGAAAGTTATCAAGGACGCGAAGGCTTACTGCGTTGGCCCAGGGAGGTGGGCTCGTGACACCTGATGCTCTCCCCTACCCCAAGAGGTAGGGATCATTTCTGCCTCCCAGAGTAGGATGTTGAGTGGGTAAATTGCCTAAATCATGGGACTGATGAACTTCAGGGTTAATATTTAAAGTTAGGCATGTTTGACTCCAGAGCCGAAATTCTTGATAGCGTTGCTACACTCTACTGACCACTCTCTCTAAATCGCACTCTAAAATGAATAAATGAAATCTGTGTGAAAAAGCAGTTTTCTAATTAAAATGCCATGCAAATGTCCATTCGCTACGCAAATGTCCATTCACTGCATTCATTACCAGAATGTAGCATTACCATAGGTTCTTTTTTTTTTTTTAAGATTTATTTATTTTATACAAGCACTGGGTACAGTCAGAAGTGCAGGAGGGTGAGAGAATTCACCAGAGCCAGAGCGGGGAACAGAACAGACAAAACGACAAAATGCACTGCTGAGGGGAGCAGCGGACGGCAGGAGGGGTCTGCGCGCCATGTGGGACCCTCCTCCCGTGGCCGGGGAGCAGCCGGGGATGGAACTGGCGCTACAGAGGCTGCGGGCAGCTTCACAGCCCAGCGCTCAACTGCTGCGCCACCAGGGGAGGCCCTACTATAGGCTCTTAAGAATGAAACTATGCTGTAGTGAAATTTGCCTGTTTCTTCTTTTTTTTAAAAAAGATGAACTCGCGGGTAATTAGGATATCATTTTTTGATCTGTTGATGTGAGCTTTACACAAATAATTTTGGCTGCATATGCTTTCTCTGGGGTGAGAGACATATCTTTCACATTCATCCTTCCTTTTAAATTCATTGACACTATATCGTCTTGCTCTACCCTTCCTCTTCTCAAGCAGCAAAGAGTAATTTATGATTTTTAGTTTTATCAATGAATTGGCAAATTGTTCACCTATAGTAAATCACCCCCCAAAATTGCTACCATATTTTGTTAAACACAGCCATCAGAAATGCAATGAAAGGTTTTTAAAGAATTTTTAATTGGCCTGTAGTTTTTAAAAACTGCAGAATAAAAATGCTCTTATTCAATGCTAAAATACAACATACTTATCACCTTTTAATAAATTGTATTTGTTTTCTATTTTTGCACAACAAATTCCCACTAACTTAGTTACTTAAAAGAACAACCATTTGTTAGTCCAGAGCTTCCTGGTGTCATGGGTCCAGGAACAGCTTAGTTGGGTCCTTTGGGTCCTTAGCCTCTCTTGAGGCTGTGATCAAGGCATCTGGCTGGTTTGGGTTCTCATCCAAGGACTTAATTCAAGAAGCTCTGTTCCCAAGACTTTCATGTTTTTGGCAGAATTCATTTCCTTGTGCCTGTATGACTAAGGGATCTGCCTATTGCCTGGAGAATATCTTCAGTGTTTAGAGGTCACCCACAGGTTCTAGGTTTCAAGAGCAATTTTTTTAGAAGATTTATTTATTTATGCATACAAGAGCTGGGGTACAGGTCAGAGATGTGGGGGTGAGGGTGAGGGAGCGGTGAGAGGATTCACCAGAGACAGAGTGGGGAACAGAACAGGCAGATTGAATGAAATACACTGCTGAGTGGAGCAGTGGGCGAGACCGGAGAGGTCGGCTGTGCCATGTAGGTTGCTCCCTGGCTGGCTGGGGGTCGACCTCGTGATGCAGAGGCTGCGGATAGCATCACAGTGTTGTGCTTAACCCCTTGTGCCACCAGAAAGGCCCAGCCAAGAGCAATTCTTAGAGACTGACCTCACTTCCCTGCCATGGGCTGCTTCATCATGACTGCTCAGATCAGCCAAGAGGGCCTCTGTAGTGCTTTCTAGCACAATGAACACACACACACACACACCTGTATTATAGTTATAAACTTGACAGTGGGAATTTGCAACATCCATCACCTTAGGCCCAGGTCCTAAAATTTTTCAAGAGAAGAGCATTATGCAAAAGCATGAATACTATGAGATGGAAAATCACAGAGGCATGACCTGAGAGTCTGTGTGCCACATATTTCATGTAAATTTAGTATAATATGCCTTATTAACTAGTCATAATTTTGGCTGATTTTAATGACATTGTTGCATTTTGAAATTCTGATAAGTGCCATGTATGATGACATTGGTTATACCTTGCTTTATGTTATGCAGAACCTTATGTTGAGAACACACTGCAAACTTAATGGTTTATTTTGTGCATTTGTGTGACTTGAAAAGAATGAATTCTAACACTTGATGGCAGTAGTAACTCATTCAAGATTAGTCTGCAGGAATCCCTACACAAAACAAACTATGGCACTTAGCTTTTATATTTTATCATGAATACCACATGTAAACTATCTAGAATTGTCAGTATTAATTATTCTTTGTTCTGGTGCAGTGCATTTACATATATTCATTATTTTTTAGCACTTTTTCAATTAGCTTTTAGAAGCCAAACCTCAGGTAATTAAAATTATAAATAAGGTTTTTTTTAAAAATTGGAAATACTTGATACATTTGATCAGAGAAATAAAATTTAACAATTATCTTAAGTGTATATTTGTAATCAATAAATTGCTGTGGAAAATAATATTAATAAATCATATTTTATGCTCTCTCAAAGACGTGACTTTTTCCATCCTGCAGATCAGTACCCATATTTTGTAATGTAAAATCAAAAGTAGTCACCATCTAATGGTCACCCAAGCTACATACCAAGTATTTTTTCCATTTTTTCAAAGGTGAATTAAAGGGATTTTAAATTATTCATTGTTTTCTCTTGATGATTTGGGAAGGTGTTTGGTTTGTAAATTGAGGGGTTCTGTGCATCAGAGTACCATAGTGCTACATTTCTGCTTATGAATCCTTGTGTCATTTAAGCAAACTATGAAAAGAAAGTTAATGTTGTAACAAGGTAACTACACATAAATGTTTCTACACATTTTAAAGAGGATTAAGGATGAGGATTTTACATTCTTAATAGTACTAAGTTTAGATATTAACTACCACCTTTTGAAAAGATTATTAATGCCATCACAATTTAGGATTATTAGAGAATTAGCACATCGTATTGTAGTCACATCTGAAAAACTTGTGTAATTGGTACTGATTAGATAAGAATTATTAGCATGGAAAGGTTTGTTATCAATAGTTTAAAGTCCAATCACTATGGGGAAAGAGAATGCAATGTCCCCCATTTTCTTGGTGAAAATGTAAGTGGGTATAAATCTTTGAGAGTAATTTAATAACATGCATTAAAATACTATTCTTTGACTCAGAATTTCACTTCTATGAATTTATCCATCTACAAAAATCATATATTTATGTTCATGCAAAGGCATTCTTTGCAATGTTATTGTAACTAACTACTAAAAAGTTAAATGTACATCTATGTAATAATCAGGTATGTATTTTTCAGAAACAGTAGAGTTGTCTGTGCTGATATGGAAAAAATCATCAAGAAATGTTTTGAGGGCCTCCCCAGTGGTGCAGCGGTTGAGCGCTGGGTTGCGAAGCTGCCTGCAGCCTCTGCAGCACCAGTTCGATCCCCAGTCACCGGGCGAGGGTCCCACATGGCGCTCAGACCGCTCCTGCCGCTCGCTGCTCCCCTTAGCAGTGTACTTCGTCAATCTGCCTGTTCTGTTCCCCGCTCTGGCTCTGGTGAATTTTCTCACCCTCCTACGCTTCTGACTGTACCCAGTGCTTGTATAAATAAATAAAATAAATCTTTAAAAAAAAAGACAATTAAAAAAAAAAGAAATGTTTTGAAACAAACCAGGTTCAGAATAGTAATATTTTGTATTTTATAATCTATGTTCACACTCACACACACACACACACACAGTGGTGACATTTATATTCGTGTAGAACATACACATATCAATATATATTTATGTAAAAATGGGAAATTATTTCTGAGTAGTTTTTGTTTCTCATGGAAAACTTCATAAAGCTATGCAAGAAGCCATTGTCTAGTTATTTCTAAAAGTGCAGTTTGTGGATTGCAATTGGATGAAACTTAATTTTTATTTTTTTAATTTAATTTTATTTTTTTACAAATTTATTCATTCATACAAGCACTGGGTACAGTCAGAAGTGAGGGTGGGTGAGAGAATTCACCAGAGCCAGAGCGGGGAACAGAACAGGCAGACTGATGAAGTACACTGCTAAGGGGAGCAGCGATCGGCAGGAGAGGTCTGAGCGCCATGGCAGATAGAGAGGTCATCCTCGCCTGGCAGCCGGGGATCAAACTGGCGCTGCAGAGGCTGCAGGCAGCTTGGCAACCCAGCGCTCAACCACTGTGCCACCCGGGAGGCCCTGAAACTTAATTTTTATTGTGTATTCTTTTGTTGCCTTTCAGTTTTTCACCATGTGTCTGTGTGATGATCATACATTTTCTAAAAGATATTAATTTCTTCCCTAATGCGGATATAGTGTCATTGCCTACATTTTCCATTCTCTATATTTTTTTTCACAAGCACATAAATTATACTGATAGCTAAGCAAAGGTCTAAAATGAGTTGAAATGTATTTTTGATGATAAAATATGATTCAAAAAACTGAAGCTAGGTACATTACTGTTGGATGTGGTTATTTGCATGTTGTGACTATAATTAATATTTTCCCACAAGGTCATTTTAATTTTTAAATATTTTTATTATTTTCTCAATCTCTCTAATGGATTTGGAGACAGAAACATGCTTTAGTGGAAAAGAGAAATAGAAAAAAAACTTAATTAAAACACCTAAATCTTGGCAATTTGCCTAGTGTTCATTTTTAATTTTCCTAATTTTCTACGTAGTTTGAAATTGTATAGGATAGGAATCCCTAAATTTACAACTTATATGTGATTTACAGGAGCGTTTATGAAATATATTTTCTATCATTTTGTTTTGCTTTTTCTATACATCTTTTAGTTTACTCCTGACATGTCTTTTTTGTAGATTACTAAATTGCCATCATAGCTTCAATTTTTAGTTATATTGTATGCAATCATGTCTCTTTTAGAATACAATTTGAAAATATCATGCTGAGTTTTGTTTTTGAAGAAAGTAGTAAGAATTGTATTGTTATAGTAGCCACTGGCATGCTAACTGTTATGTGAGATTAGACAAGACTTCCGATAGGCAAACGAGGTAGGCACATATATGCTTGAGGAGTTTTGCTGAGATTGATAGGATTTCCATCCAATCGGATATCTTCGAGTGCCTTTCGAATATAAGTCAAATTTTTAACATTGCAGAAGGTATCTTCATGCATTTCCAGAATGTTGTTATTCTAAAAAAAAATAAGACAAGAGATAACATACCCTTAGTTTTGACTGATAACATAGTTTATTTTGCATCAAACTCATCCAAAAGTGCACCTTACATGATTATTACAGATGTATTTTATTATGCATCTAGTACTTTCTAAGCCTCACCTAACAAAATAGACCTTCTCTTGTTCTTATGAAACTTTTATTTCAATAATGGAAAAATGAGACAAGAAAGTGAAAAAATAAGTTAAAAATTTATTTTCAAAAATAATAACTACTATGAAGCAAGGACAGTGACTGAAAAGTTATCTTAAGAGATAGTTCTGAAGCTGAGACTGGAAGAACAAGAAGACATAAGTATGACAGAGCCGAGGTAAGAAAATCCCAGCGAGAACACCAAGTGCAAATTCTGAGTATTTATTGTGGAATGTTCAAGAATGGAAAGTCAACAAGGCTAAATTGAATTGAGGGAGCATAAGCATTTATCAGTAAGATAAATGGGGTTCAAAACATGATTTTGAAAAATACACTGAATATATTTCCCATTCCATAAAAACACCCATTTTAAGTCTCCAGTTCTGTGGCTTTTAATATTCTCACAGAGTTGTACAATCATCACCACAATTTAAAACATTTTAAACATCTGCCCCCAAACCCATAGATATTAGAAACAATCCCCCATGTTCTTTAGTCCCTGGCAACTTTTAATTTAGTTTTATTTATATGGACTTCCCTATTCTGGACATTTCACATAAATGGGATCAAATACCATCCGTGTTCTACCTGCTAGAATTATATTTTCAAGCTTCATACATGGTGTCAAGTATATTATTGTGTTTAATTGAACATATTTTAATATATTTAAATAAAATATAATTAGAAAATGTTAGATGATACCATATTTGAAAATGGATTTTCACTCGTTACTTCAAAGATGACGTGTATCTTAATGGAATTTAAAATAATGTGAATTTTTAAATAATATTGGCTGAGGAAAAAAAAGAAGTATAATCTTAATCCAGAGAGATGGAAGTCTGTCGTCTCTCAGCAGATAGGAAGCCCTAGGATTAAATTTAATTTTATATAAAACCTAACATCAAATTTAAAATGGATGTTTTTCCCCCTTAAAGCTAGAAATCAAATTAAGTTTTCTCTCTTTCCTCCTTTTCTATTTCCAAGCCTTATGTATTTCTTCAGCAGATGAAGTTTTCAAATTTTTTTCAATCTTTTTGAAAAATAGTCTTTGGAAAAGCTTCTTGACTTGTGTGATAAAATGAGGCATTTTTATTTGGCAAAGAAGGAAAATAAAAGTAAGGTTATCAGAAATAAATTACGGTAGATAGGATCATAAATTTACAAGTATCTTGTACTGAGATTGAGAGAATGAGAGAGAAAAAAAAGATGACATGTGTAGTGTGATATAACAAAGTGCTTTTAGCTTCCCAGTTTCCCCGTTTGCTTTTATTTCCCATGGGGCTGTAGGACACACCCTCATAAGGAATCCTACCTGGAGGTGAAGCGCCCTTAAGTTTTCTGGGAGTGGCAGAGGGATGTGATCCAAGTTGTTATCGGTGAGGTAAAGATGATGTAGATCATACATATCCTGTAAATATTCCAGACACAGGGACTTACTAGAAAGTAGTTGTTTCACAGTTGGTATTTTCCATCACCCTGTCCATGCAACCATTTGTAAAAGAATACCTGCTTGTCTAGGTCTTGTTTTATAAAGTTGAAGCAGATCTGTTTTCAAAGTTAATATACGATTCAAATGAACTTTGGAGGAATTGACTGGAACTAAATATTTCTGGATAAAATAAGTCTTAATTTCTAAGAAGAACCTTGCTTTGTCAACTCTAAGTTTCTTGATTTAAGTAAAGTAGCTACTTCCCACGGAAAGTATTCTGCAATAGGATTTTTGAGGACTTTGCTGAGGCATAGTCAAACTTGCTTTCATGTTATAGGGATGGAGAAATAGGAGTTTCACCCATCAAAAAGCTGGCTCTCTAACCCAAGGACCAAGAAAAGGGCCGCCTCATAAGACAGAAAGCATTTAAACAATAGCAGGTCTACTCCAGGCAAACACACAGAACAAACAGATTCACCATCACCTATGATGACCTCAGCAGAGTGGGGAAACTGGACTTAGACCCTTAAAGGTTGTAATGAGGTGGCCTAGCTCCCTTGCCCATCACGATGGTGTCTCGGGAAGGCTAGTGGAGAGACAGGACTTTGCCTAGTGCCCAGTGTTAATGGATTTATACAGTCCCTGTGATCTCCCTGAGACTAAAATGCTGTCCTTTCAAACAGTATACTAAATTGGTCAACATGTATTTAGAGGAATAGCCTGTCTGGAGTAAGATTGAACAAGGAAACCGGTTAGTTATTGTTTATATACTCTATGCTGTTAATTTCAAGCAATTCATTCTGGCCCCCAACTTTCTTCCTTCCCTTAAAAAACAGAATTCTTAAGTTGAAGTGAATCCATTCTCCTTACAAAATAATTTAGAATGCTCCAAGCATCATCACACCCTGTACAAGAAGTTATTTTAACCACATAAAATGCTCTCCTTAAGTAGAGTTCTTGGAAATATAAAATTGCCAAGCTTTATAGATTATTAGTGATCCAGGCAGCCCCACCACTTCTTACCCCAGTTCAGCTTTCTGTTCTTAATGCTTCACCAGGTTCAGAGTTTACAAAGGCTGTAAATGATGGTGCAAGGGGTTAAGTCTCAGCACTATGAAGTTATCCGCAGCCACTGCAGCACAAGTTCCACCCCTGGCTAGGGAGCTACCCAAATGGCATGGCAGACCTCTCCTGTCTTGCCTGCTGCTCCCCTCAGCAGTGTATTCAGTAGATCTGCCTGTTCTGCTCCTCACTCTGTCTCTGGTGAATCCTCCCCCACACCCTTGCACTCTGGCCTACACCCAGTTCTTGCATGCATAAACAAATAAATCTTTAAAAAAAAGAATTTACAAAAACACAATGTTTTGCCAAAACATGATTAATCATATTGTAAGGTTTATTTTAGCAGTTAAAGTTTTATCAAATGGAATCCCTTTAGAGAAATAAAAAAGACTAGCATTGACAACAAATGGACTGGAAGATGAAAGTCTTTCATATACAAACTTAAAACTTACTTTAAATGCTTCTTGCTTTATTCCTTTCCTTCCAAGTCTATTGTTGCTAATATCTATAAATGTCAGGGTGTTTGGCAATTCTGGGAGCTGCCTTATTTTGTTGTCACGCAGGACAAGCTCTTGAAGCTGAGGCAGCTTTCTAAATGCATCTTCATCAATCTCAGATATTAAATTTGATGTTAGATCAATTCTTCTTAAATCATCTAGAAAATAAAAAGAATGCTCTCGATCATGTTTGCTTGCATAAATCTAAGATCATAAATTTTCCCACATCTAAGCGCATTTAAAAATGAACTTAATTAGGAATGGAAAGTTAATGAAATATTTCTAACTACTTTATAAATATTTGTTTATTTTCAATAGTATTCATATTTATAGGAAAGTGTAACTTTAGCAAGTGGCACATATATTTAAAATAACTTTTTTTGTTTTCCTATATTCCTTATACATTTCATTTAGATTTTCCTCTTTAAAGGTTCTTCTTCCGGGCCTCCCCTGGTGGTGCAGCAGTTGAGCACTGGGCTGCGAAGCTGCCCACAGCCTCTGCAGCACTGGTTCGATCCCTGGCTGCCAGCGAGGGTGCCACATGGTGCACAGACCTCTCCTGCCGTGCCTGCTGTTCCCCTCAGCAGTGTATTTCGTCGGTCTGCCTGTTCTGTTCCCTGCTCTGGCTCTGGTGAATTCTCTCACCCTCCCGTGCTTCTGACTACACCCAATGCTTGTATAAATAAATAAATAAATAAATCTTAAAAAAAAAAAAAAGTTTCTTCCTCCATAATGGGACATTGTGTATTTTTTAAAACCCCAAGATCCATAAAAATCAAAATACACAAACATTTAAGGGAATTTTCAAATGACTGAAATAATTATGAGGACAGTTACCAAAAATCTTCTAAGTTGGCAATAATTATAGTCAGAATTTAGGCTTGGATTCATCAATCAGAAAGAACTGTGCTTTAATGGAAGTTTATTCACACGAGCCAAATCCTACTAAATATTATAGCATAAAAATGCATTCTAACATGTAAAATATAATTATTTTGTTAGGGGGAAAAGGATGTCCTAAAGCTAATTCCATATAGGCTTTGTGGACTCCACCCCCACCCCAGGCCAAAGCCAAAGTCACTGGGAACTCCAAATCCCATCACCACCAAAGGGAAGGTGGCTGAGACCTGAGGGTGGGGTTAAGCAGCCAGGTGGATACAAAAGGCAGACACGTGGGGTTTGGGGATCCCCCATTTTTGGCTCTCCGCCAGCTTGCAGCATCCGGCCAGCTCTGAGAGTGACTTTGGGTTTCCAGGTCGGCGGATCGGGTAGGACGCATTAAAGACTTTATTTCCCTATTTTCTCCCTGAGTTGTACATTTTCCTTATTTCCTCTTCCCTTGTAAATAAACCTTTTATTAACCTTTTGTGTGTGCCCGTAGTGGAGTATTAATAAGTCCCTTTTAAGCGCGCGGTTGAGGACCCACAGCTAGGAACCCGTTCAATATCGGGGCTGCCCTATAACAATTTATGCTTTCTTTTTAATGAAAAATAGTTTATTTGAAAACTTCAGCTATAGATTCTCACAATGACCTTTCATGATTCACTAATTTATCATAATCCAAACAAACCTTCAATTATATAAACAGGAAAAATAATTGATTTATGAGCCCTATTTTGATATTCATTTTCTCTACCAATATTTGACAAAGTGGCAAAGGTTTTAAAACAGTCTGCAAAGAAGAAAAGGACATGGATGTTGTCTTCCATACTTAGGCTTGCAAAATCATCCTTGTTGATCTTCTTAATTCTGTTAAAGCGGGAATAGAAATAAGCAGTGTTCTTGGGCAGTGGTGGAATGGCATCAAGTTCATGGTCATCACAGTATACAGTGGTACTTATACAAGTACACAGAAGGCAGGTTGGAAAGTCTAAAAGAGAGAAGCAAATAAGTTCATGTAAGTCACAAAAGACATTTCTAGGAAATGTGATTAGTCCAGTTTTTAAACAACTTCGGACTCCCACAGAGTATTCTGGTATACTTCCTATTTTCTTCTATCATTTCTTGTACTTAAAATAACTGTTTTTTCCTTTTTCCTATATTCTTTATACATTTCATTTAGATTTTACTCTTTTACTCCCATGATGGGAGAATGTATATTTTCTAAAAACTCAAGATCCATAAATATCAAAATATACAAACTTTTTTTTTTTTGAAAGATTTCATTTATCTATGCATACAAGAACTGGGGTACAGGCCAGAGGCATGGGGGTTGGGGAGTGAGAGGATTCACAAGAGACAGAGCGAGGAACGAGGAACAGAACAGGCAGACTGACGAAATACACTGCTATGGGGAGCAGCGGGCGAGTCAGGACAAGTCTGCTGCACCATGTGGGTTTCCTCCCTGGGTGGGGCTCAAACTCGTGCTGCAGTGGCTGCTGACAGCCTCATAGGTTGTGTCTTAACCTCTTGCGCCACCAGGGAGGCCCCCAAATTATACAAACTTTTAATGGAATTTTCAAATGATTGAAGTAATTATGATGACACAATGAGTCAAACATGCCAATTAAAGCTGTCCCAATAATTAATATATTCTCTATAATCTTTGAAATTTTTATATTAAAGTACTGAATGGATACAGCATGGTTGTTATTTTTATACCTGTTAGAAATTGTTTCAAATGTACATACTAAATTGTGCTTGTTATAAAGTTAAAGCATTTCATCATATTTTTATTAGGTCTTTGGTTCAATATTTAAACACCCCACTAACCAAAATCTGCTTCAAGAAAAAAATTAGAGTAATAATCATTAATATTAATTTACTCTACATGTACTTTTTCGATCCTTTCTATATAAATAACATTGTGCTAACAAATGAAACAGTGGCGTGTGTACAGAGAAGTTCAATTTTATGATCTGATATGTGAGATGAATATTAATCATACATATAAAATGATGTCTATGGTATATGTAATGAAATATCACATGAGCATAAAATAGGGCAATGTGGGCCTCCTTGGTGACGCAAGGGGCTAAGACGCAACCTATGAAACTATCTGCAGCCACTGCAGCATGAGTTCGAGCCCCAGCCAGGGAGCTACCCTCATGGTGCAGCAGACCTCTCCTGACCCGCCCGCTGCTCCCCTCAGCAGTGTATTTCAGTCAGTCTGCCTGTTCTGTTCCCCATTCACCCCATACACCTCTGGCCTTTACCCCATTTCTTGTATGCATAAATAAATCTTTTTTTAAAAAAAGAGAAATCTCTTTAAAAAAAAATAGGGCAATGTGACTCAGTCTGAGCATCAGTTATGATTATTTGAGGACATGATCATTGAGTTGAGACCCACAGGAGATCTTCAGGAAGAGAAAAAGTTGGCCATGCAGTTGGGAGGGAGGAGTATATAGAAGGAAGCAGCAGCTCTGTGTACCAAGTGCCTTCCTTTTGGAGCAACAGGCAAAGGCCCTTGTGCCAGAGCACGAGGCACTGGGGTGTGTAGATATAACACGCACAGGCCCTTGTCTGTGCAACAGCTTCTGTTCCCTATTTTAAGGATGGGAAGGGTTTCCGTGCCTGTTAAGATTGCTGTGCTTGGAGATGTGATGGGAGACTGAAGGAGGACCTCTGGGGAGAGTGGAAATGAATTGTAGTCTAGATTAAAGATGGCAGTAGCTTGGCTACGTAGTGGTAATAAAAAAGCAGCAGGTCTGAAGATACTTGTGAAGCTGGATTATACTAAACATTGATCTCCAACTCTCACTCTTACACACACACACACACACACACACACACACACACACACACACACACACATAGCACCTCCTTCACTAAGGAAGGAAGCAAACAAGATGGTGCAATATTATGGAGGCTTAGTGGACAGCAAGTTTGAAGCAGAAGGGAATAGAAAATTATATAAGGTAGCAGAGATAGCATGTTAAGTTAAGGGCTGAAAAATGGTGCTTGGCTTAGTTGTCTTGGTGATAATAAGAAACTTCATTGACAGGTGTGGTCCTGCTAGGGCCAGAGTCAGATTGTAGTCAATGAGAAGGAAGTCATAGGTGAGAAAATAGTTACAGCAAATACAGACCATGGTGTTGAGATGCTTGACAGTGAAGGACAACATGGGTGATAACTATAAGAAAGATGTGTCTGTGGTGTATGTAATGAGGGAAATTGACTAAGGTGTAGGAAGCAAAAAAGCCATTTCTGCTGTGGAGGACTGAGAGGAAGCCTGTTTTCCATTAAATGCACAGACAAGAATCAGGGCAACTTCAAACCAGTGTTGAGAACACTAACACCGTTGACCTGTGGCAAGTTATATCCATTTTGATCTAATTTCCTGTGTACAGGGAGGTTGCAATAGTCAAATGAGATTATATGAAGTGCTTACCATTATGGAACACAGATCATAAATGCTCATTCAGGGCAAAGTAGTAGTATTGTCATCACCACCATCTACGTCACCTTATTGCCTTGAACTGCTGGGGCCTGATCTTCTACACAGACTCTGATCTTTCTAGTACTGTATCCTTTGCTCTAGAAATGCTTTCTACCACAAAGGCTTTGTGTTATAACACCATTCCAAATTTTGGTTATTTGATTATTTCCACCAGTCCGAAGTGGAATTATTAAAACTGATTTATATTCTAATATGAAATACATTTATATCCCATTCCAAAACTTTCTCTTTGGGCCATGTGGGTTGGCTGTGTAGTTGTAGCTCCTGGTCTCAATTACAGTTCAGGTTGGATGGACCTGACCTTCATTGGTGTGGGGACCCAGAACCCCGGTGAATTCAGGTTCCTGTGGGGAAGAGCCATCGATCAGCCTGGGGGTGGATTCCTCCTCTTCTTCTCCATCCTCCTCTAGCTGTGGGGACGGGGTGAGGAGCTCTCTGTTCCCAGATGGCATCATGGTCGCTATTTCAATCTGGAAGAGAAGTAGAATTTCATCAAGCAGCCTTGTCAATCATACCCTGCATGGCTGAGGCACGAATTTAAAATTTATACCCTGTGGCCACAAGAGGTCGCTCGTGTTCTAAAATTTAACTCAGTAAACCTGCCTGCCTGGAAAAGCACATATGATTCCAGTTACTCTTATTATTTTAAATTCAATTCGTTTCTCAAATCGTAGTAATAGTTTCCAATACTCTTTAAAAACTCCTCTTGCTGTTTTATGCATCTTTATATGCTTGTTCATATCTTAGATTTTAAAAAAATATTATCATTTCTTTTAGGGTTTACCAAACATTTGAAAGGCACATTATAAGAGTGTATTACTGTGAAAGATTAAAATTAATCCAGAGTGTACATAATATAATCCAGAAGTACCTTTAAATGTTCATCCCAAATTCTGTTCCCTTCGAATATGTTAATCAATAAGAAGTTGATTTTTATGTCCAGTACTTTAATCCTTGGTGTCCTAGATTCAAATTTCTGTTCCAATATTTTTGCTTCCCCCAATTGGATTTTACTTAAAAAGTCTTTCTACTAAAATAAAATGTATGTTGAAATAGAAACTATGATTATTATATGCCATTTCTCATACATTTTTGACATTTTTTTGAATAACAAGTATTACCAACATTTGGACATAAAAGATTGACCTTTTTGAGAATTTTAAAAATTAGGAGGCAATTATATGCTAGAAAAAGAAAACTCAATTTTTTTCAGGAATTATATTTTAAATTATGCTCATTTTTCTTTCATGTATATTTTAAGTACTGTGCTGTTGCCCCTACAAACAGTTTGCATTTATAACAACCCCATTCACTCTAAACACTCTTCCCTGTCTCAGTGTCTATTCCTTTTGTTACTCGGTAAATGTCTACCTCGATGACCTTATAAGCTTTGGTGAGAATTATGTACCAGACAATTGGGTTGTAAATAAGCAGACCCCACTTCTGGGGCATAGGTTCCTTATGAAATCCCAGATTCTTCTTTGATCATGCTTATATGATCTCCCGGTCCTTTCTACCCTTTTACATTGTTTGCTTTTATCAAAAAAAAAAGACACAAAATTTCTTTCTAGCTTATGTAACACCAAAATGACACCTGATACAGTACTTTTATATGTAAAGTAAGTTCATAATTAAGTAGATATTTTGTAGAAGTTATAGATAGATGTTTTAGATAACGAAAACTTCTTAAAGATGTACTTATTTAATGTTACTTTTGATAAATTTGGATTTAATTCTTCACAAATGAAAATTATCCCTTTCCCCCCTGCCTTACTTAAAAATAATTGACACCTAACAGGTCCCATGAAATTTCTGCCTATCCAGACCTACTGGATGGTGAACTCTGAGTTATGGCTTTTACCTTTGTACTTCTAGGCTATAGCAGAATAGGTGATCAACCATCACTTACTGAAGTATAATTTAAAATGTTGCTTGTCCAGAATGTATTTAATTCACATCTCTATGCTTAATTTTAGAGATTTTGCTGAGAAGTATTACTGATTGTAGTGCTTACTTCAATGCATTTAGAGCATCATATTAAACCCAAAGCAAATCATACTATTTGGGTACATTAAGAAGCCATACATGAGGATATAAAACTTGGTCAGAAGTCTCTGGTTGGGCACATTTTCTTAAACAGAGAGACATAAGGTTTCCATCTGTAGGGTCAGAATGAGGCAGATTCAGAAGGAATGGATTTGCACAGAGACCAAAAGGAGGCTCCAGGAAGAGAGGAAATTGAGACAGATGTTTCATGGAACAGAGGCAGCCTAAAGGGAGAAACACATTCCAGACACGTTGCCTTGAATCTTTAGCTTTGTAGGAAAAATGTTTGCACATACTTTTTACAGATAATTGTTTTTCCACTGATTTGATGGAAGCTGTAAGATCTCGCTTGTCATCCAATATAATGAGGCAAAACAGCATTTTCGCTTATCAGAAGCTGTTTTGTTCGTGTTTACTTGCTAATAAAATGTGAGTGATGAACATCTTTTAAACCAAGCTTTAAATTGGTTCAGAAAAATCATAGAACTGAAATTCAGATTGCCTTGAGAACTTTTAGCCTTTACAATTGTATTTATTTCTCCTATTGAAATGAAGCAGTTGAAGCTTCTGTCTTTTTCCCTTTTCTGAAAATTTTCATACTGTGATATGAAGTTGTGAGACAAAGCATCAAAGACATAAGGCTGGGGAAACATGACCACTTCACCTGACAGACTTTTGTGCTTCTGCTGCAGAAAGCTCAATTTGGACATAAACACAAATGGCCAGAAAATATCCCTGCCTCCTTTCATTCAAACTATAATTAATAACATTCAAATGCAAATATAATAGAACTTCTCTTGTAAATATTCATTTTCCTTAGTTTTCTTCCATTCTTTTCCCCTTCACTTTGTTTTATTCTGATTTGCTTCCAACTGAATTGTTTAATCCGTTCATTATTTTCCTCTAGAGTTTAAAAACAAAATACAAAGGTGCATGCCTACATATGACCTTGAACTTAGCCATCACTGTACTTGAAGATCTTCTTGACCTGATACTAGCAGGACAAATCTTGGGGCTGACTGATATGCAGCAAGTTGTCTGTTGCTATGCTTTTGATCACCAGGCCTTAGAGAATAAAATAATTTGTGTTGGGGTAGACTGTTTTAGGAGTACCTTCCATGTGCATGAAGGGTGTATCTCTATCAGAGACTCTACCAGAACCTACAGAGATGGAGGTAGAGGGAGGTCTCAGCAGATATCCATCTGGAGCGATAAAAATGCCTAAAGGAGTCCTCAGACTTGCCTTTACCTCATGCCCTGCAGTATGGATTCCATTAAGCAACCCAGCCCCTTAATATAATCTCAGAGTCAGGGGGCTGAAATGAACTGGAAGAGTCTCAGAGATATGATAAGTAATGTAGATCACAACCTCTTGTCTGGAATATAACAATAGTCTAATTACAGGATGTTGAAATCTCCTCTGGTATATATCTTCACAGTGAGAACAAAGTCATAAAAAGACAAGCTTGAATGTGGTGACTTCTACTTAAAATCCTTGTTTTTTCAATGTTTTTTCAATGTTTTTCAATGTTTTAATAATGTTTTAGTTGCTTAGCAGAACTGCCACACGTTGATGAAGAAGAAAAGATGTGTTTGAATCTATTCTGAGAACGTAGCAAGTTACATTACCTCCTTGAATCTTGCTTTATTTATTTGTGAAATGCTAGTATAAATAGTACAACTGTTTAAAATGTGGCTAAAATGGCTAGAAATGTGAATGCATGTAAAACTCTTAGAATAATACCAAACACATAGTAAGCACCATGGAAATGGTTGCTGTTATCATTACAGTAAATTCAAAACTCTTTGATTTCTAGGGTCTTACATGGCTTAGCCCTTCTAGTATCCCCTTCCCTCATCTCATGTCAATTGTACTCTTGCTGCATTGGTGATCTTTAGTTTCTCATATTATCATTTGTTCTTCTCTAGGACATTGCACATACTAGATATTTCGTTTGGAACTCCCTCGTTCTCCATCTCTTTTTCCAAAATTTATTTCATTTGTTAGCAGCTTTTTCAAATGTGTAATTGATACACAAAGAAATGAACAACTTTAATATGTGCAATTCGATAGATTTGTACGTATGCAATCACCTGTGATGTCATCACTACAATTAGAGACGTAGTCAACACCGCCCAAAGGGTCTTGATGATTAACTAACTATGTATCCTTAATAACCAGTTCAAGTCTTCTGCAGGGAATCCTGCAAGGAATGGGCCGTCTGACTTAGACAAACATAGCATGGCTCTCAGAGAATTAGGTACTTTGTGGGGAAGTAACAATTATCCTTATGAGAAATTGACCTTACATTATTAATCCATGAATCAGCTTTCTTGCACATATTTTAATCTTCAGATGATGTTTGCTTGCCATCACTCATATAAACCTACATTCTGCTCTGATTACAACTGATTGTGTTAGTCAGTTGCAGAACCTGAAGGCTGCAGACCATCCCAGGCCTTGTTGCCCTCAGGGAGTGCTTGGCAACTAGGCAACCGCTGAAACTGACAAGTATGAAAACTACCATATGGCCTTCACGTAGGTAGATTATAAAATTCAAGTGGTATTTATTATAATATTCTCTCACTTTTGTGAGAAATGAGCATTATATCAGGATGAAATTTTAACCTAGTTAAACACAATGGCTGAGAAAATCTCCTGCATTCCACCGAACAGTTTCATTTTCCTCCTGGGCACTCAAGCTAAGTACATTTTTCATTTTCTTTAACTTTCAACCAGGTAATGTGGCTAGTTTTCGCCAACTGAATAGGAGGGGAGGGGATTGTTACAACAGATCTAAATCAGTGAACCCCCAAGTGAAGATGGAAAAGTTTTAGAGTTAAAGAAGTTTGAATTCCTGAATAACCTGCCGGAGGATAGTCAGCTTGTTAGCTCACAATGTATATTCTGTCAGCAAGATATAAATTTTTATTGTGTTAAATCACTGAGATTTTAGAATTGTTTGTTATAACTGCTAGGGTAACGGACTAATATGGACTTTTTCAGTTCTTGTATTTTTAACCATTTCCTAAGTATATTGAGGAAACAACTTTTAATATTTTTATGGGTGAAGATATTTCGCATCTATCATCGACTTCAGAAAAAAAAACAAATGCATATTTTTCTTTTGTTTTTCAATCCTCTTTGATTTTTCTTTTACCAACAGTTGTCCTGTGGTCTTGGTTATTTGGTGGAGTACTTACTAAAATTTTATACCACCAAATTTAAGTGAATTCACTATACTTTGATTTATTTTAAAATATCAGGATTTTATTAAGTCAAAATTAATCTATGTAGTGAATAAACACCTGCAAGTCAAATACCAAATTTACTTAATGACTTTTTGTTTATGTCAAAATAACATCCAATAATCAAAACACTTTATTTGACTTGCTAGAATACTATGCATGCATTTATGAAAAC